AAAAAGAGTCAAAACTTATTTAAGGTCAACAACGGAAGAAAATCGTCTTAATTGACAACCCTCAACATTGAAGCTGATTTAACGAAACCTATTAATTTTAATGATATTATTGAACATTTTTCTTCTCAAAAGTCAAGAAAAAAATTATAAGCTATCGATTATTTTATTATATATAAATAATAAAAAATAAAATATATTTAATCTAATAAAAAACCATGTATTGTTAATCATTGTGCATTTAATAAGTGTTAATTCCGTTTGCTATATTTAATATAAATATATTATATATTTTTAAGAAAGGAATATAGGTTAACGTTAGGATAAGTATTACTATAAAATTATCTAATACAATATCGCAAAACAACTGATTTATAATTTGTTTCGTAAAATTAATTTTTTTATTACTAAACTTTGAATTAATTTATATATATATATATTTTTTTTTTTTTTTGGTAAGGGGGAAGGGTGGAAAAATTATTTTGCCCCAGGGCGCGTGTATTATAAATACGCCACTGCTTGTACGTCACGGTTGCTTATCACAAAATACAGTAAAATTTGAATTATTATAATTTTTTAAAAATTGTAATATTTTTTCCCTAACTAAAAAAAAAACATTTCTAGAAGGCCACATAATCAATTTCCCGATTCTACAAAATGATTTTTTACGTTTTCATTATTTTTATATATATTTACTGCGAAATATGATTATAGTGATTACACTAAAAGTTATGTATTAATAATACCCAAAAAACTATTTTCCCTTATTTCAGAAAGTTTCAGAATCAACATTTTATAGTGTACAATCAAATTGGTTAGTAACTACTCGTACAAATTTCGGTGAAAATTTTTATTACGTTTCTAAAGGTATTTCAGATAATTTGAGTTTTAAGCTTATGGAAAAATCAAGGATTATTACGGAAAATCAGATGAGATTGAAAAATGTGAGAAAAAAAATGTTGAGTTTTAAATAAAAAAATTATTAAATCCTTAGGTGATAATAAAATGGTTTTTAAGTCAAAACAAAACGATTTGGGCTTAAACGAGTAAACCAAATAATTTTGTTTGCCTAGAAGCAAGTACAACAAAAATTAAATGCTGTAAATTGTTTGATAGATAATCGTTTATACATTATTTTAAATATTTTAATTATATAAGTAAAGTACCAAACTATTTAAAATTCCAAGTTTATAAAGATACATCTTACACAAGTATATTAAAATAATTTTCGAATTATTTTCAGGCTCTTAATTATTGAATATATAAATGGAATAAAATCACTTTTAATTTTATTTTGTATATCATTATACAATTTTTATATTCTATTTTGTCTAAATAAATTGAAACTACTTCAAATACTTAAAGAAATAATAAATTTTTTTTCGTTTTATAATAAATAAAATTATCATTAAAGTCGAGTCAGAAAAATAGATTTTTCGATGTGGAAAGAATTCGAATTTTATTACAGGGAATAAAAGAAGATATATGATAATTACCTGTCATAATTTCTTTGTCCGAAGAAAGCACTTAAAAATGATTTATTGATATTCTTTAATAGTTGATCCATTAAAATATACTTCGCTCAAAAATCTCTTTAATTGCGGTATCATTTTTAACAGAAGATTAATTTCTGTACACGAATATTACATTTGATTCCATGAAACAGAAAAATGACAAATCTCAAACAAAATACAATGAATCATCACAATTAACATGATGTGAAAAATAACTATAGATAATAATCTAATATTAATAAACTAAGAAAAACTGTTAGGGTCACACAAGTCAATCACACAATGATGTTTACGGGGGCGGCACTTGCTCAAAATGGTAAGAATGTCCTACTGAAAATCGTTTTGTTCATAATATCATGTTATGATATGTAATTATTTTTATTGTTGAATTGTGCATGCTAAATGTGTGCAAAATCTAAAAAAATCTACAAAATATAAAAATGAAATACATTGGGATGTAGATCATATATATTTTTATGTACAATTTGTCGAAGAAAAATCATTTGATTGTTCATAATTATTTAGTAGACGTGTAGAAGTTACAATACGTAATAGGTACCATTTTAAAGAACGTCGGAAAACTTGAACCACCGACTGATATTACTTCCAAACATATATAGCAAGTTTACGAGGATTTGCCAGTCTATTTCCAAAATTCACGAATCGCTTGAAGACCTGACATGAACTTCCTTAGTTCTGAATTCCAATCTTACATGTTTTATTAATAAAGATTTATTTAGCTTAATTCTGAAAAAAATTTCAGAATCTTTATAGGTTAGATGAATGGTTTTTTTTTTTTTTAATTTAAGAACGCCGTAACTCAAATAATTAGTTTGATTCTGTCAGTAATTTTTGAGTAATCCATTTAGGCAGAAAAATCAGGGTAGTTATTTAAAAAATGCTATTAAGATCGAGCACTACGTGAATTGAGATCAGCTCATCAAAAATCAATACAGCCCGGATCGGTGATGTAAGACTACCATTGATTTTATATCATTTGATAATTTAGTTTTGTAATAAAAACTAGTCCACACCGATAGAATAACCGTTGATGTATATGGTTTAATTGTATTAAATATTTTTTTTTAATATTTAAACCATATGTTCTGTGATTAAACCTCATCGATTAATGGTTTTCTAATTGATTCATATATTGTATTTAATAAACAAGCCTGAAAAATAATTCGAACTAAAAATGACTGATAAATGTCGAGTATTTAATATTATGTATCACTTTTTAACACAACTAATGGTAACCACACTCAAATAACCGTTGAAATATTTAAATAGACATTATGAACCATCGAGTATAATGTGGTAACGCGTAATAACTTATAGTCTGGCCACATACAAAATCAGTCGAATACAGATTGCTTGACTCAACATGGACTACACGGTCTGTACAGAATACGGTGATAGGGGAATAGTACCTTTTTTCTTATCAGAAATCGTTTAAAACCATTTTGTCTTCTTTGCTCCGATTTGTATATACCACGCACATGGTTCATGGTTAATGAAGCTGTTTCACAATGAAGGTGTTTCACTGTTTGTATAATTGGTAGGGAAGTATGTGTGTGTGGGTGTGCGTGTGTGTCCATAACGTGTCTGTCAACATCGTGTAACGTCTCCGCTTTCGAAATGATTTAATAGAAAATTGCATTCGGATTGAATACGCGCCGGGGGCAATGCCGGGATCTCGATCGGTCCACATCAAAAACGCGATGCCGACGGAAACTTTCGTAAAAGTTTTCAAGTCGTTGCAAGAGTAATTTTACACACATACGTATACACATATCACGTATAAATGGATTATAATATATTATGTGTGTTATAATTTCCATGCTACAACGGAGCCGGTACATACCGCACGTAATGTTCTCGAAACTTGTTGAACTCGACAAAAGTGGTAAACACGTCTCACATGTGTTGCACGCGAACCGTTAATTACGCTGCGAACCGAGAGCATGGTTGTTTGTTTCATGTTATTATTATATAAGTTCCTGCAAATAATCAATGCGATTATTAAAATATATACATCGATATTATTATAATATTGTTACATCCGGTTACGTCCGGTCGATCGGCTTGACACGTGGCGAGGACATTCAGCTCAGTTGAATCGGACATGTGGTCGGATGTAGGGGATAAAATTGTGTACAACAAAAGACCGAACAACTTTTCAAAGTGTGGATAGCGAATTAGTTTTACAATGAAGTCGCGTTACGATTTAACTTTAGGAGACTAATTTTGCGATCGATACATGCGGTAAATTGTAATTTTTGGAAAGTAAAATTCTGTCATTAATACCTGAATTAAAGTATAAATAATTGTTCAAGAAATGATAAAATAACTAGAGCCAATAATAAATGTTAGTTGTTTTTTAAGTTCACATGAAGTTTCAATGAAACATTCTTGTATTATCCAGTTACGAAATTCAACTAATTTAATAAAAATAAGTTTTTATTTATATTTATAATTTATTAAATGTAGTGTAAACACGATATTTAAATAAGAAATCGTTTTCTTGGTCTTATTTTATATACTTATCATAAAGAGTGGAATAAATTTCAAAGTTTTAATATTCATTAAAACATTCAAAATATTATAAATTAATTAATTATTTTTTAAATAGATCTGTTTGATTTGTAGTAATTTAATCCAAAATTGTATATTTCTACTTCTGAATTTTTTTTGTGAAACAATTCACTATTCTGTAAAGTATTGATTTATCTTTTATTAACTTTCATTGCTATATATCGTCAAGCTCGGAACGCGGTCATTATCGTGCATTACACGTATAGCATTTATTAAACTTTTGGATACTATTGCAAATTTTTCGATAAATATCATTAACTCTGTAAGCTTTTAAACAGCATACGGTAGTTTATTCAGTATATAAGTGGTATTAGTAAAATAATATATTAATATATTAAATACCACCATATGATAATTACAATATTTTATGATCCTGGGACTATTCACACTTTTGTTCCAGACAAAACAATTAATCAAAAACAAAGATTCAGTTTAAAACAACGTTGACTTTGATAAATATTATGTGATGTGACACAATATATTGGAAGAAATGGCCATGGGAAAACTTATAAAACCGGTGTGCCGAAGAAAAAGAAAAACCGTTATTGGCGCCTGAATTCGATCGTGAGATAAAAATCAAGTGAATCCGTCTGAAACGGTAGTTTGTGCACAACGTCGCGTAATTTGTCATACATTTTTAATCCACATTGATTAGACGTGTTTTTTACCTTTCAAGTCTCCTTGAATAGCGACGGATGAACGTGGAATGAAAAAAAGGGGAAGAAAAAAAGAAAAACAGTTAATCGCATGGTTAAGTTCGTTTCACGGAGGTTCGTGTGCATAATCGACACTTTCGGTGGAGCTGACCCAGTAACAACGACAACCGACGTACACAGGGCCGCGTTGCTAAGAAACAGCTGTACGCAGCGACGGCGATGTTGGTGGTGATGGTGGCGATCAAGCACATTAGCCGCTTAGTCCTCCGACACGTTTCTATAAAAATTATCGAGAACGGTTGTACAACGGTAATAGATAATACCGTTTTGTTACGACGCGACCGTCCGGACGGAAAACGTTTTGCGAAGATGCGCGTGTTCAGATCGCACGACGAGATGACGAAACTTCTTGCGACCACTTGCTTTAGGCATGGCAAGAATGGACCTACCGAAGTACAGCGACTGGTGCGGTTCTCGATGAAGAACGGATTCCATCCGGGCGTGCACGAGAAGCACGGACTCTACGTCGGAAACTGGGAAAACGACGTGAAACAAGGTTAGTTTGGAACATTTTTGGAAATAAATCGTGACGATTGCAATAAATTACAAACCTTTAACATTCTTACTACGTGCATAAGTCTTTTTTTAGCGTTTTTTTACGGTTTTTTATATAACTACGGTTTTGGCATTGAGTAAGAGCAAATAATTATACATGGGTGCATTTGGCAAAATGTAATCGAATAAATTGTTTGTCAAAATATTCGTCATAGTAATAATTACAATTATTGTGATGATCACATCAGTTTCGTCATGTGGGGGGAAATCGAAGTTATTTAAATATCATATTATCGTCCGGATAACGCAAAAGAATTCACTATATACGCCTAAATTGCAATAGCATCCTAAACGAACAAAGTTTAATGTTTGTGATTCATTTGTGTATAATTACACTAATGCATTACTTCGTGTCATACAAGATGTTTTTCTAAGGTTCAAAATATATATAGTCCATCATGACTGGTTATCAATTATCCGCGAAAGTCTTTTTCGATTATAAAACGATGTGCACACCAATATAACTGTGCCGATTGAGTATCACATCTTCCGTTTTATTTGTGACATTCCCAAATAAAATAGTTGGATAAAACAGAATTCCATATTATTAAGTGCTTCAATGAAACAGGTTGTGTTAAATTCAATTTGAAAATATTACCTTACATATAACAATAATACATATTTATTACTTTTTGAGAAAATATTCATGTTTGTATATTATGACATACCTACCTATTGCTTGGCGAACTAAATTATGCGGTTTCTTGCATTATTGACTTGGCTTTGAATACGAAAACGTCGATCGATGCAACATTATAAAAAAATCAACGAAAAAATATTAAAAAGTAGTTCAGTCTAAAAAATAAACATTTATCACCCGGTAAGCCATGTCATACTACTCCTATAGTTAAATAGGAAATATGTTAAATAATCAAGCTTTTTGCTCAATTAAAAAAAAAAAAATGCACGCAAGCAAACTTTTATACGCAAAATGAGTTTGTTTATTAGTTTTTATACAAACCGTTAGATAATGAGTAACTATAAAAAAATATATTAAATCGAGACAAAATTAGAGAGGGGAAAAGAAAAGTGATAGTATGTAAATATATATATTGCAAGTACAGTGATGACAAATTTACAAAAATAATAAACTATACGGTGTAGTATTATAACATAATTCGTAATATGATTATATATTCTACATTTGACAATATTACAATACTAGTGTCTGCATTTCTCAGTGAATATTTTAAGGAATTTTCATTGGGCAACAAAAAAAAAAAAAAAACCACGCATAGAATCAAAATCAAAAAATTAAGATTAACAAAATATGTATATAATGAACTAATAGAAAAAAAATTCATAGTTTAATATTCAAATCTTTGAAATTCCAATTATACGATCCAAACTCGTAACGATATATGTAATCAGTGTTCGGAACGTTCAAATAAAAATCGAACTATTACTCGTTTACGTCTAATGCGTAAAAAGAATTTTTTTTATTTAATATTAACGAATCGCTTACCTGCATTCGGTATCGGTATAAATGGGAACTTTATAAAATTTATTAGGTATATTTTATTTTCTAACATACATTAAACATATTATGATCAATATATATTAATTATGAAAATGTTTTCAAAATGGTAAATAAATTTGAACACCCCAAAAATTGATCAAATTCATTAAAAAATATAAATGTTGTTTACGTTCACGTTCAATCTGAAAAAGCGAGTGACGTTCGCGTGTCGTTCACAAAATACGAACGTGAACGCGTGAACGAATAAAATACAATATGATACAATATCGTATGGTTTTTATTTGGTAATATAATTTATGTTTCAAATTAAAATTATCAATCGAAATGATAAATAATTTAAGAAATCAAGCATAACGAATAACAATAAATTAAATTAAATAAGAATTAAAAATATTTCAATTTTTCCCAAAAAATCATTGTCGTCCAGTTATTAAACACATCATCTTCTGGACGACAAGAAAAAAATTACTAGAAGACAATAATATCACTCAGTATATTAGATAGAATATGCACTGGCGTTTTCTGCCGTGAAATTATATTGTATTGCTAATGATTTTTAATGCGATTTAAGTTAGGCGAGGTTATGTGTATGTACCGTGTTTTAATGTCATGACACTGTAACAAAGGGTGATATTTGGGTCACGCTTTTATTTCTTTGGAATTTTGTTAAACACTCTATTTGTACACGGCAAGATAATTCACAATCTATGAATCTAAAATTTAGTAATTTGTTCGTACCACACTACTCCAATCGACAATTGTTGTTTCCCCCAACAATTAAATCTATTCAAATTAAGGTTAAATCTAATTATATATTTGTTCGTATAATTATAATGTTATTGTTACAACTGAATAGCTATTATAGTTGCCATGGTAACAAAATAAAAAATGCAATAATTATTTGATTATGATTTTTCGTAACACCTAAACAAGAGAAGAGTTCGCTTCGTGAGGTGCATCATTACATTGTAAGGTCAAAAATCAGTTTTTCACAATTATTTTCTGAATATACTATGGTTGATATCATTAGAAGCCAAATTCCATCCGTCCCGAGCGTTCGCAATCAAGACATCTCCGAGCGTATTATGGTTTATTCTGGTCAAACATTATTTTGTATTATGAAGTTAAAAAAAACCTAAGCCCAGACACGGCGTCACTTGTGAGGATTTGATTATTATAAATATGAGATACAGTAATATAAATCAATATTCTGATTAGAGCATCTTGCTTGGTCATCCTTCTTCTTCTTATTATTATTCTCATTAAATGTATTTTGTTTTTATTTTATTTTATCCGATTTTTACGCCAGAAAGATCTTTCTTGGTACCAATTTAATATAATATATTTTTTTTATTCATTTCCTTAATTTGTGTATCTATCCCCAATTGGTGTCTTATCCTTGTTCATATAAATTATAAAAATAAAATATGAGAAAAAAAATCAACAAATTCTATATGTTTCGCCTAACGCCTCGGCTATAGGTTGGCGACCCGATACGGCCCGTTACATAACGCTCCACTTATCTGGCCACGTTGAAAATGCTAGATCTTACAACATATATGATTTTAAGTACTTAGAATAATATAATATAGTCTGTCCAGTGAGAGAACGTGTTGTTCTGCTCGTATAGAATGACGATCGAGCCATCGCCGAGATCTCGTTTCCCCCTCTAAGCTACTTAATCATTCAAAAGACTGCCGATCGATAGTATGACAGCGGTGGTATACAATATATTAATTATTTTATATAATACACGTATTTACAACGAAATTATTACGTTTTTATGTCATTATTATGATTAATATTCAATTATTATTGTTTATCGTTAACGAAGTGGTCTCAGTGGGGAAATCTACGGCTGGGCAATAATACTCAAAAATGAACAACTAATTTTGATCGTACCGCAGTTCGTTCTCTTGTTGGACAGAGAACTATACTCTGTTCTGTGCATAAATTAATACACCTATACTTTTGACGGAGATTTGTCATACATCATCAGTGTGCGACCACTTCTGTTAGATGATTCAAACAATCATGATTCATAATTCTTAAAATAATTCATTTTGATCCAAATCAGTGGACCTTTAATACAACGCAATAAATCGATGTTTTAGGCATCTATTATTATTATTTTTATTATTTTTTTTTTTTTTTTTAGACGAAGTCAGAGGAAGCTACATACAATTTTTGATTTGTAGCAGACAGTACTATATATATATATATATATATATCAGTGGCGTATATAGGATTTCATTTCGGAGGGGGCCGATATTATGTATTTGATTTTTGGGTGGAAGAGAAGGAGGAAGCACACTATTACGAAAAAAAATACTTTAACACTATAAGACTTCTCGACAGTCTTTATACCATCAGAAAAATAAGAAACTCGATTATTTTAATGATTTATTATTTTTTAAAAGTATAAAAACTACATTGTAATATACAAATTTTTTATTAGAGTCACTCAAAGTTTACCACATATTTTCTTAAAAGAAATATATTTTATAAATATAAAATTTTAAATTATTGTATAAGCAAAATTCTCAGTGTTACGACAAATTTTCGGAAACCCCAGTATTAAGACATATCCATGTTGAAAATAACAATCTTTAACAGTGGTGTTTTTCATTTTGGAGGGGGGCCGGGCCCCTTTGGCCCCCCCATAAATACGCCCCTGAGATATATATATATATACTTGTATACATGTATCTGTATGTATAATATAAGATATTATTTATTGTTTAAAGAGAAACGTTTTTTTTATCACTATTTTTGTCTCCCTTATTGTTCTTCACTATTAGGATGTAAGAAAATTACTGAAATGAAACAACCATGCTTATATTTATTTATACATCAACATAATATTATATAAACATACTACAATTTTTTTCTTCTGTATATATTAATATTTGTTTATTATAACACATATATTGAAAATATGAATAAATACCGAGGTATATTGGTTAGTTATTAGTAAAAAAAAATATAATTTTATCTTTTCACGTACACAATTTAAAAATGTTTGATTTAAAAATACCTATCTATTATAAGTTCATTTAATTTATATTTACAACTATGTATTATACTTTTAAGCTTAAAAAAAGTGCAGAGTTAAAAAATGTAATCATTTATTACGCGTTTAACACTTATAGACTTCGTTATAGCTAGAGGATGGATAAATATATTATTTGGGTCAATTGAAACGTAGTCGGTATTGCAGTATACGATCGTAATCACTTTAAGTACGATACATAGTGTATACCAGAGGTATGTTTGAAAAATAATAACAAATAACAAAGCTAAAAAAGTTAAAGGAGCATCGACTACTATAGTACATTTATTTTCCGTCTGTTTGCCTTAGATTTGTTCTATATTTCATAGAAACCTGGAACTTTATTATTTCGAGTAATCTCTCTCTCTATATATACATTTACGACTGGGACTTTAAAATTTATTGCATTATAGTTATTCGAAGTTCGATTCACGAGAAACCGATACTGGGAATGACAAAAGAATCATACACGATCTTTATAGTGTATTTGAGTGTGTACATATTAGTATATATATATATAAATATAAGTACATATAAGTATTGGAATGGACAAACTTGTTGCTAGCCAAAGCCGAACGCTATGGATTTGTGGCGGTTCGTGATACGTCAAAAAGTATGGTCGCAGTATTTTTTTTTTTTTCAATAAGATTTTTCCAGCCAAATAACATGACGTTCAACGTCCTTTTTTATTTTATTTTTACTTCTTTTATATATAAGAGCATATATTTACAAATATAATATGTATGAACAGTAAAAATTTTTGAACCTTAAATCCTTCTCAAAATTGTGTGCGAAATATTTTCATTCAAAATAAATAAATAAATATTACTTTTTCGACGTATAGACTTAATTCAATTACGAGAAAAAGAGAAACACTCTTACACACACTATTACCTAAACCTCCTTACCTTAGAACTCATAGACAACTCACAACAATGATCAATATCTAGATTAAAAGATTACTTTTTAGTTTTGCTTTTTGTTTTGGATATAGATACTTTTTCAATTTTTTTTTTTTTTATACGACACATTAAGTTTTACATGGAAATAAGATACTCGTATGACAGAAATTAATTAATACACGAATTTCACATTTAAGACCAAATTTTATTATTAATACCATTTAAGTATTATTTAAGAGTTAAAATTGTTCAGACTAGTCCTATCCAGTGAGTTTTAGAATTATAAGAAAAATAAAAAACCGAACCGACAAAGTTTGTGTACAATATCTTATTTTACTTGAGGTTCGCAGATTTGTTCAATATGAAGTTCCAAATACTAGCGACTTATCTTTGTATACAATTTATTTATCAATTATTAAAAACAATAAAATTGATGACAAACTGTGCCGAACCATAGGCAATTTTACATTTTATATTATTAAGATTTTATCGTATAATTCAATTAAATCGTACGTATCGATATAAACACACAATTCGAATTAAGGTAACACTTGAAATAATCTATGTTTCCAATAGTGAATCACAATAGATTCTTTATTCATGTGTTTTCTGTCTATTTTCAATTCCCATAATCTCATCAAACATATTTATTGCTAAGATGCTAATCGACAGTAATTAAAATATGTTTTCAGTACAGTTGTTTTCAAATATTCTAAAATGTTATATTAATCTATTTCCTATTGCGACATAATATGCAGTTTTTTTTAATATTTCTTATACTTTCTGTGACCAGGATTAATTACTATTGTTTAAAGTACAGTGAAGTGAATGGTGATATTTATTTTGATTATTGTAAATAATGTTTTTTATTTTTTATTTTCCATTTTCAGGAAAGGGGAAAAAAATATATAAGAACAAAACGATTTACGAGGGTGATTGGTTGGCAAATAAAAGACATGGCTACGGTGTACTAACGAAAAAAGTTGATGACATCTACATATTTGTTTACGAAGGAAAGTGGATTAACAACCGATTCGTAAGTAATTGGTCCGTCATCAATGAAATTGCATATCATTGTTTAAACATTTAATTTTGATTAAGCTATGATATTGGGTAAAAAATACACAAGAACGATCGAAAAATAGTTGTATTTTTAATTACATGAATGTGAATTATGAGCTTTTCCACTATGGAAAGAAAAACTAGTCGTAGAATCAGAAATAGATATAACAAGATATAACGAATACAACCCATCATCGCGTTTCTAAATATCATAAAATGTTTATAGAGGCATAATATAAGCGTTCAGATCGAGAGAAACGAACATTGCAAAAATACGCTATTCGAAACATCTATTGGTCGTATATTTTCTGTGAAAGTCGCTCTTCAAATGCGAGCAATTTATTTTGCGTAATTTAATCCCTGTATAAAATATGCCCTGGTAAAGATGCACTGGCGAAGATGTGACAGTATTATACATCTAGTACATCGGAAAAACATGTTACATTTGAAATGTAAAGTTCTCGTGGTGCACTTAAGCAGTGTGTATGGCCGTGATTATGTGATTATGTGCCATACATTAAAATAATAAATGTAAAGCTCAAAATTCGTAATCACTGCTACAAAACGAGACAGACATAATATGCAATATATTTATACGAAAATCCAATTCTTAACAATTACTCTCATAGAATTTAAACATCATGGAAACGTTGGTGAGCAAGGATATTGCTAACATTCATATATTACTAGTAGTTGTTGTAACTGGATCGATTTATAGTTGAAAATTTTAGATGTTATCGATAAGTATCTATTATGTATTTTTTTTTTTTTAGCGTTACAGGCCATTTAGGCCCTTTGCTGTCAATACTAAATTTTTCCATTCTTCTCAATTATACGCATGGTCCATGTCTTCATTCTAATTTAGTCTCAGCTCCTTCATATCTATTTTGACTGTATCTAACCACCGTTGCTTTGGTTTACCACGCGGTCTTTTTCTGTTTTAATTATTTACAAGTCTATTATATTTAAGAAAATAAAAACTTTACCTATCGTAATCGGTAAAATTATAATCGTAGATAGTTTATCATCATCATCATCATCATCATCATGTGGCTTCATGAATTTGTAAGAGTTTTTAGGTTATTTATTATTTATATGAAATTATTACCGATAAAAGTTCATTTTGATTTAAAATCATCATAAACACTTCCATAGACCGAGGAGAAAATTTAAAATATCAACATCGATGAATTTTCTGATTTTAAATATTGTTGTGTCAAATATTAAAAACAATATCCAATATTCCAATTAAAAATTGCCTTTTTATTAATACTATGATGTATACCGATAATACTACGACTACCGACACGGTTTCAAAACAATAGACGCCTTGTGCGCGTAAATGTTAATTTTTTACGAAGAAAAATGTATAGGATAGTACTTTATGCATGTTGTCTTGTATATGTAACGCGGGAATCATCACAAAGGCTGAAGGGAAGTGGTACGAGGATTGCGGCATTTACGATGGCTGCTTTTCCACGACCGGCACCAGAACGAAATGTGGCTACGGGATCATGCGATGGAACAACGGTGCCGTATACTGCGGTCATTGGCGAGACAATAAGTTCAACGGTAGAGGGCAGTACATTGAAGGTGAAAATTATTGTTATATAAGCTACAATTAGCATAGAAAATATGTGATCAGAGAATACTATCTTCATTTAACTCTTTGTTATTGTCTCTCCATTTCTCTCCCTCTCTTTCACTCTCTATCTCTATCTCTCCTTTTCGTGTACAATCTCAATCCCTCTCACATATTCTCATTCTTCTTTTCATCCATCTCGCATACACATGTAGGATTTTCTGGTGTGTGTGTATGTATGTGTGTGGTGTGTCATTTTTATTACCAGCTGTTTGGTCGTTGGGGTATAATTGTTTTTATATTACTGTTGCTGTTATTACTTTTAATAACAATATTGTTGTTTTTACAGCCAACGGTAACGTTTACGATGGACAGTGGTGCAAGGGGCTTAAACACGGTGAAGGATTGTACGTGTTTAAAGAAAAAGGCCAATATATGGAGGGCGTTTGGATCCAAGGAGTACCAAGGGTCGGTGTGATCAAACATTTGCGTCACAAGCGAGATGTTAACGAAGTAGTGACGATTCCCCATACATTACCCAAGGTAATATGGAATTAGGGAAAAGCCCAAAAAAAGAATTATCTTCTGACTATAACATAATGGATACTTCTATTCGATTTCGTTATTCATTTTAATTTTAAATGGTTTTAAAAAGTTTTGAAAATCATTTTCAAAAAACTCGATGGGTCATTGTGGCGTAAATCGGATTTAACTTTTGTCAACGCAGAACACGATTTACACAAAATAAACGACAAAAAAAGTCTTTGTTTGAACAGTTAATTAGCTGTATTCGAACTAAGAAAAAACACATCTTATTTCCGTATCAACCAGTCCAACTGGCAAATGACCTATTCACAAACATAACCCGATTAGTATTTCGTATATATTTCTCGTATATCTCTTTCTTTGTATCTCAAATAGAAGGTTTCGTCACTCCGTAATTCCTGTGACAATATTCCATCTGTTATGTTTATTGTTGAACGATGTAACAGACTGTAACAGATGTACATGACAAATCCACGAAGTATAATAAGCTTTACAAACCTATGTCAGCGAATCTGACGAAAGATAATAAATTATTTATCATTTATTTCGTGATACTAGTACAGGAATATCCATATCGTTACGAGTTTTACATGATAAACCGATCTCGTTCCGTAAATATTTCTACCTTGGGTACGTGTGTTCACGACTGTGTGAAGACGTTTATTTACTTGTATTTACGTAAAGGCAGTGGTGCGCTCATGTCACGAAATATCCGTGCAGAGGCAGGGGTAACAGTACAATTTTTTTACGGAGATACCAATATTGGAACAAATCGAGTTATTCTGTCAGGCAGTTTTTATGGATGTGAGTTAAAGACAATGTGTTTGAGTTTAACGTTGATATATGTATAGACTTAATAATCTAAGGAGTAATATTTTAAAATTATTACATTATGTGATCAAAGGACTTAAACATATTATAAACAACGAAAACAAAAAAGCAATCGAACATTTTACCATCGTTTCCATGACTTATAGATTTTATCTTTAACGGATAGGTCGTCGGTGTGACGAATTTTTCAATTTGATGGTAAGCAAACGCAGGAAAGAAATCGGATGCCGATTCAACCCGTGCTACTCTCCGAACGGTACCTCTGCGCGGAGGCCTATTTACGCCGCTATGGTTCGAATGCTTGCGCACTAAACCGACGATTCTCTAACTTATTGTGGTCGACGATTATTGTACACATAGTTAACCTAACATTGCTTTTTGTTTGATTACATATCGTGCAAATACAGATATCGGAATCCAACGAGGAGTGCATACGAGCCGCGTACGAGAGGGAGAAATCAGAAACACTCAAACACGCCTATGAACAACTTGTATCGTTATAGTATAATATTATAATATTTGACACGACTACGAGGTGCAACCGTTGTTTTGGCGGTTCAAGATTCACGTGGACGAATTTTTTTCCACTCCCCGTTGCGGGTCTCCTCTGCACGATATCACCGAGAAACATGTGATCATATTATAATTAATGTTGTTTAAGCGTAGCCGTTACCTTCAGCTTGCAAGCGTGTCGCGGTATAAATAATAACAACGAGGATAATACATTAAGTGCAGCAGGCTCGGGCTATACATAGAAATCGGTATCCGATCATTTCGCTTCAACTCCTTCGGTCTGTCCGTTAAGGTTGATGAAGTATCCAACGGTTGAACATAATAATATCTGAGAGAGAGTGTGGGCACCATGTGCGCGCAAGGCGTTTTGTGTTCAGGGTCACGCACGTTGTTCTTGATACGTGCACTATAGGCGCAACTAAGGTAAACAATTCTGGGGGGGGGGTTATATTCCTCCTACCAACATTTAAAATAACCTATAGATTACCCCCTACTCTTATATATCATGTTAATATATTTTAGATTCTGAGCCAAGTTGGATTTACTGCAATATATCTTTTTTTATATGTGACACTATTTTGGGTTAAGTATGTTGTATGCGGTATTTCATGTATAACATGGAATATTAATGAGGGGATAATCCCCCTTGCTCCCCTTAGTTGCGCTTATGACGTGCACACGGGTGAAAGAAACGCATAAATGTAAGACTCGATACTCAGCTCTTTGATGATACAGTATACTAGGTTATTCAAAATGATTCATCTGATTTAAAATGCTTGGATAATTTTATTTTTTAATCTAAGAACAATATGTTATACATTAAATAAAAGAGAAATATGTCAAGTTTAATTAATTTTACCTATAAATGTTCTATATGAGTTCCTCTGGTCACACGAACAACATCTAGTCGATACTGATACACGTGGGTCGGCATGTGCTTTTTACTTTGCCCAAACACCCTGCTTCTTCAAACTGCTAATACCATTGACGTATGCTCTAAGAAGTCGGTACATCGATCCCGTAATGACGTCGTAAATCGTGTTGTATGGTTATTACGGATTCACATTTTGAAAATCGCAACACACAAAACGCTTTCTGCTGTTCGGTTAACATATTCGCATAAAATAACTTATCCCTTAAAAGCAATAATTGTAAAACAAACAATTAATGACATTCTAAAACTTGGGTATACTCACTATTAATTGGTGTACAATTTAATAAGATAAAATGTATTATTACTATTTTATAGCTATTTGAAATCGGATGAATCATTTTGAATAACCCTGTATAAATATAATAGCCTGTGTTTTACTCGTACCACGTATCTTTGTGCCGATATCAATGTTTTTTTTTTTTTACGATCATTTATATGTAATCATAGTAGTATTGTACTGTAGTGCATTAGCTTATCCGTTAAATTACAATCAACTTATGTGTGCTGTTGACATAAAGTATACAACTGAAAAAAACAATAAATAATAATGCGATTTTTTTTTTTACAATCGAATAATTTTTCGTTAGTCAAATAACATTTGTGTTGTTTGTTGGCGTCATCATCGGTTCTGATTAGAACTGAATATTATAATGTTTGGAATTCATTGTTTTAAAACAATTGATTTTAAAATATCCGATATTAATTTACGTATAATCATATCAATCGAAGAAATATTCAGAACAATCCTTGCAGCCCATGTACGTACAACTAACAACGCTTTGTGGTTAAAATATATTTCAACAAAGGTATAGTATATTACTTTTTTTTCACTTACCATAGTCAATAACGCATGCGCTATACAAATTTTCAATTATTATATTTCATAAAATTGTGTACGCAAGCAATCGTGATATTTTCCTTCGAAGTAAGCGTCTTTTTATCACGAACAGCTACACTTAAGTCTACGATCCAGGTTTTTCATCGACATTGTATACTACGAAAAATTACGTATTATTTTTAAAAAGTTGTATAGAATTTTAATATCGTGCAACATATGTGAACCATCCGTTCATATATGCGTATGTTTTTTTTTTTTTTTGAGTAACTCTAAATTAATAATTTTTATTCATTGCCAATAAGTAAAACTAATTCTGAAATTTGCATGCATACATAATAATATTTGTATTGTTTTAAAAATTCTATAGTGAAAAATATTAATAGAAACAAATAATATTACTGTATGAACAATAAAAATAAAATAAATTATAATAATAAAAAATAAAAGTACTCATACAAAACATGATATTTTACGAGTATTATACGAGTACAGAAAGAACGTAATAATTAATTATACATGAGTATAAATTCTATTAATTATCTGCATAATACATAAAATTAGATACATGTGTTTGAACAGTGTGAACAAATCAAAATCTAGTCCTGTGATATTTTTATTGATATTACCATTCTATGAAACGTAAATGATCGTTAAGAATATTTTGAATGAAAAATCGCAAAGTAGTGAATATTTTAAGTTGTTTGCCGTACAACTATAAGATAAAAACGTGTGTCGAAAGTAGGTTGCAACCGGCTAAAATTTTGAATATTTTAATATCGGTTTTCAATTTACTGTAGTATTTTCAAATCACGGATTGGCTTTTATAAAAGGAAAGATTTACTTGTAGGAATTGTATGGAAGAGGATGAGAAGGTGAAGCATTATGCAAACCCTAAAGAATAGAAACGATAGTCCAAAGGAGAAGAATAAAACGATATAAGGTCAAATTGCTTGCGAGTATAAACTTCATAGAATTAAAAAAATTCACGAATCTATTTGTTACTATTTTGTCGAGTACGAGTAGAAATATGTAGAAATTGAATTTAAAATTTGAAATAATGCATGTAATGGACGTAGGGAAGAAGATGATTATTCAATATGATATAAATACATTATGAGTTGAGTTTGTTAACAACGGCTATGGCTATGGTAGGTCAATGTATTTAAAATTTTTAAGAGTTAGAACTTTATCGCTGAATTAAGTAACGGACGATGATGATAATATTATTACGGCATAACTGTTCCCCGGTTGAATGTGCTTGTTGTTCGAAACGGATAGCGATAAGAACAATTTCGCGTTTTGACACGAATTACAAGATCGTTAAGCGTAAAATCCCTAAAATTTCTGCGCTAAAGGCATGCAAACAGTATTTTCTTATATATATTCAGAATGTAGAGTATTGTGGTGCCTTGTATAGCACTGCTGGATTGATGACGGAGAAGATGTCGATAAACAATGCGACCGGTTAGAGGGAAACTTTGAAGGAAACAAAGTAATCCCTGCCGGTAGTTACGCATACACGTACGCACGCATGCACACACAAACACGCATACACAGCAAATACGGTCGTCCTGGTCATCGGGCTTGTATAATGCCATAAATACGTACGCCGGTCGAGATCCCTACACAGTGCATCGCCTCTCTGTAAAATCCCTTTAAGTATATACACACCACCACCAGTGTAATCCCTCAAAATCGTACTTATTGTTTACGACCAAATTAGTATTGTGTAAATCGTGCATGTATATGTGCGTGTGTGTGTGTATGTGTGTGTCTGTGTGAGAGTAAGCACGTTTGTACATTATATTACATAATATTGTAATATGTGTAGTAGGAATATGACCCAAGATTTGGCGTTGTTCATATATGTAATTGTTACTATGCCATTCACATACACACATATATATGTTATATACAGACACTTAAAAACACAAATCCACATTGCTCCAGGACGAGGGGAAGGGGAGGATGGTAAGTGTGACGATAACGAAGGACGAAGGATGTTGCCATAGCATAACGTATAACATTGGCATGATTAGCGGAAACATGTATGATATCCACCGCGATATTAACAATATTCGTTCGCGAGGCGGCTTAATTCATCGGAAGAAACGATGGGCCCGTTTGTTCGAATATTGTAACCGAAACAATTTAAAATAATAATCCCTTTATCATGTTTATGTGTACATAAAATATGAATTACGCGTATACGTTGTTGAAGGTTTGTACTCAAGTGTTCGAGAAATGTATGTTCGAATCGAATTGTGTCTGTGTTATCTTTCTAACGCGAAAATACAATTCAGACGGGTTCAGGTTTTTTGAAAACGAGATGAAATTACGTGCTAGAGTTTTCAAAGCGAACAAACTCTCGAAAAGTCAAAATGAAGTGTACCACTATCAATTAAACATATATATATATATATATATATGTTATATAGTTACATGATATTTTTTTGACTCCAAGCATTTATCTGTACGAGCTTTTAATGCCGGCGACTCATACCACTCGTATTTTTGTCGATTTCTCTTTCTCTTGTTTTCTGCTTTTTAAAATTACATTGATATGTTCTTAGTGATTAAACTATATACAATTACGACATAGTTCAATTTTCGTGATCCCGTGCATTCTATATATTTAATTTTATTATTTATCATTTATTTTATATAATGTCATTATACAATTGAGTTTAGTTTAATTCCCCCCTACCACTTTTATTTTTTCTACGTTTATTTATATTTCTATAGAAACATTCATTAATAATATTATTACAATGACCAATGCACAATATGATATTTTAACGAGACTCATAAAAAAAAAAAAAATTTTATAACACCGTCGATTACAATTTACTGCTCTCTATAGTTTTCAGATTTTATCTCATTAAAACACAGATTGCTCATGCGTGTTTCGTTGTAAGCTGCAGTGTCTCCGAGCAATTCTCAGTGTTTAACTGTGATGTTCAAGCACGAATTATTATAATGAGCTTTTATTTATTTTTACTGTTGAAACTTTTTAATGAGAGAATCTCGCAATACGTCACGTTTGTTAACGTCTTTATAAACATTATTTTCTTTGCGAATTATTCGTCTTACTTTTATTGTTATTGAATCGCAATTAAATTTATTTTTATTTTTAATTTATATTAACGTGAATGATGTTGTTAATCAAACATATTCAGAAGTTGATAATGTATATATATATATATATATATATATATATATATAAGTAATTATGGAAAAACCATTTGCCTCACGGCAATTTTTATGCATTTTAAGCGTTTCCATTATACACATTGCTGATTATCTTAGAAAATTTTTTTTTTTCGCATTCAATTTATCGATGTACGCAAATATACTAAACCACGGAAACATATAAAATAACAACTTCGTGTCGTCTTTTCAAAAACTGTACAGTATTTGTTCGCGTGGAACAATATGATGCTAGTGTATAATGTTACATATACTCTTATTTCAAACTAATTGGTATTGCCCAAAACAAATTGTTTCTACTTCGATGCATTACGATTTGTATACGAATAAAAATAAAGCATTATAAAACAAACGTTATTCTAATTTTAATTTTGCAATTTTTTAATCGTCACCACCGTACGTTACAGTAATTTTATAGCTTAACTTGTGCTACGGTATAAATTATATAAATGCGTGTGTTCCATATTCTTTTTTGTATACTCGTATAAATAAAGTGTGCACGTAAAACCTACATATATATACATATATATTTACGAGCGTATGTGTGTCCGTAATCGCACATTACCCTTCCCCCCCATCCCTTATTACATCGCCGCTGTTGTGTGGGTTTAAAATGGTAATAAATGACTAATGCTGCGCAAGGGCGCAATATATACGTGTTTTCGTCGCGTGATAAATAATTGCAAGAGGCTACAGAATTTCTCACTATTAAACTTGTCGGTGCGCCCGTTTTCAATCGTTCGCCGTTTTTAATTTGACACAATTATTCACTGTTAATAGCATTAAAAAATATAGCCTCTCGTCACGGTTCCGATTCGCAACGCTTTAGTCAGTCAATTAATCATTTACGCGAATCGTTGTCGGCAGGGCAAAAACTGTTCCAGCAATACATACAAATACACACACCAATACGCACGTTCACACGCACGCACACAAACATGGGTATGTATGTGATGGATTAAAAGAGAGAGTAGATTTCGAGTGAAAAAATCAAAAAGATAGAGTGTATGAGGATAAGATTCTCCGATAGCCGTTTACCGGGACCATTTTAGTAGAATTATTTATTTTTCACTGTTGAGATTACCGATTAAATTCATAGGAACTCGTATTTTTACCCTTTTTACGCTTTTTCACTTATAACTAAAAGTCTACTGACATTTTAATTAAATATATATTTTTTTTTAGCTCTTCGGAGTTAGATTCAGTTTTTTCGGAATTTAAATACATTTGTAATGCGCACCCTACACGTGCAGCAATTTACAATTTATTAATGGAGTTGGACGCCAATTTGTAGTCGTATTGACTACAAATAATTAAATATAATATGATATAATAATAATTATTTCCGTTTATTTATTTCATTTACAAAGATTTTAATTTTAATAAATCACATGCAATAGTAATAATAATCATAATATTTTATACTGTCGGTATTTGATACGGCAAATACTGACTATACAATATAAAAAGAATATCGCGGAGGAACACGAAAATCCCAT